ATCCCAGTGACTGCCATACTCTTAAGAAGAGAGAAATTTGAACACAAAGACACGGGGAGAACAAGTGATGACAGAGGCAGAGATTAGCATGATAATAGCTGCAAGACAAAGACCATCAAGAACTGAAGGCCACTACTAGAAGCTAGGAGGAAGGAAGGAAATTCAGAGGGAGCACGGTCCTGCCAGCATCTGATATCAGACTTCTAGTTTCCGGAACTATGGGAGAACAAATTTCTTTTGTTTTATGCCACCCAGTTTGTGGCACTCTGTAATGACAGCCCTAGGAAACTAACACACTATTGTGGTATTAATTAATTACTGGGACACTTCATGATTATAGCATCTTACTAGTATCTTTATGAAAGTCTTCAGTGGGTAGATCTGCTCTAAAAACCAGGCTACAAATTAAAATGATAATCATAATTGTCTCAAATTTACCAGGAGAATGACAGGAATTCTAAAAAGGATAGGGAATAAATCATCGTCAGTTAAGGCAATGGATGTAACATTCTGGCCAGCCAGCCTCAGGAAGAAGACACAATGAGTGAATGATTGATCCTTTTGTTTAAAGGTTCTTTGAAAATGACCTTAATTGCAAACATGACAAGCGATTCTTAGCAAGATGCTAGGTCTTTCATACCTATTGCTCATCCATCAACAGTCTTTCAGAGAGGTATTAGATGCTGCTGGGCTTCTTTGTTAATTACCAGTAGCATGTCATTCTCATAACATGAGCCCCAGGTGATGTATCACAGTGGTCTGGCTCAGTGAGAGTAAGGAAATGAAAGAAAATGCAGTAAATCATTGTTTCTAACTGAGACAGTGTCGGTTTTAGATAGACTTTATTCGAAATGTCAAAGCAGTGTTTTGTGTGATAAAATCCTTCAGCTTATATTGGTTAATTAACAATCTGAAAGCTGATTTTCTGGTGTGTACGATAACGCTTGGCTGCATCATTGAGAAAGTATCAGGAAGTTATGACCATGTTGCTATGAAGAAATGTTATGTTTTGGAAACCTGACATTTAAAACAAATAACCTGAGTAATTATCTGTTTAAGAATTTGAATTGCCTCACTTAGCATGACACTAAGGCCAGAACCTATAAAAAAAAAAATACTGTCAAATTAGGTAATAAAATTTTAAATTTCTGAGCAATGAAAGCTGTTTGTTGATTCAACGAATATTTACTAAGCACCACAATGGAGATAGTGTAGTCTTACAGACTCTGGAGCTAGACTTTCTAGGTTTATATTTCCTCTGCCACTGACCCACACCCAGGCCTCTCTCTGTCCCTTAATCGTTTCTATCTCAAATAATGGTACTTTGTGAAAGTCACATTAATCAACACATGCTTGGTAACTGGAACCAAGCCTAACACAAGATCAACTCTCAGTGGGTGTTAGTTTTTATTATACGTGACACCAGATTACAATGAACAACTCGAGAAAAAATCTGGAAGGAAATTATAGCTACATTTATGTCCAAGTTTTTTCATCTTTGTACTATTTGAATGTTTTCAATTAGTATGTCTCATTTTCAATGATAAACAAAAAAGAAAAAAAAAAGTGAAAAAAAACAAATCAAAACCTCAAAAGCTTCAGGCAAGTTTTCTTGATATGTGATTAAGGGCTATGGAATCTACCAAGGGAAAAATACTAAAACAAGAACAACTTTAAACTGATCAAAAAAGTAGCTTTAGATGACAGAGATTATTAATAGACCATGACTGAATCTTCTGGGTGGGGTAACAGACAGAGTGTAGTGGAAAGAGCAAAGACCAGGCCCTTGAGGCTTCTCAGGTGCTTTCAGCTGCAAATAGCAGAGAAAACCGGACTGTTGCTTGAGAATTCGAGATGCTTAAGTAGCTCACAGAGCAGGAAGCGCACAATAAGTCGGTTCTGGGATTGGTGCTGTGATTACCAATGTCATCAGAGACTCAAGACCTTTCTCTCTTTTTTGGTCACTCATTGTCAGGATGTTATGACTTGTTTCCTGGTGGCCCCAAGATGGTACCCTCAGCACCATATATCTTTTCCTCAAATAACTGCATTCAAGGCAAGAACTTACAAACCAAAGACATCAACACACGGAGAGGAGGAGGTATGGGGTCTGATGGTGTTCGAGCCCCTGGTTCTAGTTCTCCTTGAGAGCTAATTATATCCCTGCCCTTTTGCCAGTTTGGTTATAGACCACATTCTCCCTTTTTGTGTGAACAACTTTGAGTTTCGGTCACTTGCAACCAATTGCTCACTAACATAAAGAATGTCCCTGTAAGAACCGCCCCCCCTCCCCCGCAAAAAACAGTATGAAAGTTGCTGAGAAAGAAAAAAGTGCAACCCCTGGCATCCAGAAGCCAGCCTGGCACTCGCAGCTGGACAATGTTATTCTCTTATTGGCCATAAATAATCTCACCAACCTTCAACAAGTTTACTTTGACACTATAAAATGAGAAAATCCATGACTACTTCATAATTCTGAGTACAGACAAAAATAAGGTCACTGTGCCACCCTCAAAATACTATAAACTCTCTTCTCTTATCCAAGTGACTGCTATTTCTTTAGCAATTACAACTTCATCCTGTGCTTGTCTCCCCCCGCTATAGATAAGATTTATTGAGATATCTAATCATAAAATTTCCCCTTTTCTGACAGCATCAAATCTAGAATGAACCTCTGTTTCCTCAGGCCCTCAATCACCCAAGGAAAACCCAAACCTATATGAGGATCTTTCTAACATCTTCTTGCTGAGACACCCAGTGGTTCCCCATGGTGTGTGTCCTCCTTCATTACAATGAGTCATAAATCCAACTTGTCAACTGCAGGTATGTTCCTGGTGGCCCTTGACTGAAAGACACTGACACTGTTAAAGGATCCTTATTTATTTATTTTTTAAAGTGGGCTTCCTATGAAGCCATTTGTTTTCCAGATTTTCTGGAAGAGACTTTATTTTAAAAAATAAAATTATTGGAAGCTTGCAGAAGTGTTTAAAGAAACCATCTGAGCTGTCTATTTTAATTCTCAAATACCTTGGAAAGAGTAGTGGATCCTGTAGTGAACTGCCAAGATCTCCCCTTCAGGAACCAGGTACCTATTTTTCCAGAGCGTTAGTTCCTGGTGGTTCACAACTGAACCCTTTCCTAGGAATTGCTTTGGGCCAAAGCTTTTTGCTCAAGGCCACACTTCCTCCCTGGGACTTCTTATATCCAGTGACTGGTTGATGTGAGTATACTGCGTTCCAGCCACTTTGCCTAGTTTTGTGTCAATTTTGTAAGGCCATTCTGGTTCCAGAGTTCCCTCGGGGTCTGCTAAGGCCTCGGTTGCAATAGCAATTGCATCATAGTTCATCATTCTTTCTCTTCCCAGCCCAGCTTATTTCTCTTTCTTTTTATCAGAGCACTCCTCCAAACCTACTGCATGTAAATCTCCATCCCAGAATCTGTTTCCTAAGGAACAAACAAGATAAAAGGGAGCTAAGAATTCAAAAATGGCTGCCCAGAAATTCTCACAGAGAACTGACTTTTCCATCATTGAAAAGTACAAGGGACTCCTGCCTGATATATTCAGCAGGTTGTTCACTAAACTGGTGGGGAGAAAAGTCACATAACAGAACCAGTTTCTTCCTTGAACAGGAAGATGGATCAAGGCTAGAGAGTTGCAACAGCTAAGAATGGCTAATACCAACCAAGTAGTGTAATTAGTAACCAATGGCCAATTGGTGGTCATGCTTTGTTATTGTAATACAAATTTGTGTATTTATAGAAAAAAATTAGTGCTTCAAATCCTCTTCTGTTATGTGAGAATAAGCCTGGCTCTTTGGACTGTGAAGTTATAAGTTATGCTCTTCTATTCAACTAGTTGTCACATAAATCTAAGTCATAGGTCCCAAGAGAGAATTCTATTATAATTTCTGGTTTTACCTATTGAAACCCGTAAAGTTCCAATTTCAAAGTACCTTACTGCTTAAATCTAAATACCCCTGTCATGCTCTCTGCAACATGGTTTCATCTTCTGCAACATCCCTACTCTCTCAAAACCAAATTTATGTCTCCCTTCCCTACCTTCTATCATTGTATTCATTCTGTCATCTCCCACCTCACTCACCAAAATCCTACCCACATTTAAAAGGTCTGATCCTCTTCCTTGTCCAGGTCCATATTTGAGAATCCCTTCCTACCCTAACTCCTATTGCCCCATTTTCTACAATGTACCTCATATTCTTTGTAAAGCACAGGGTTTAGCACAGAGCTAGGCACACACAGCTTCTCTATGGATACTATATTTTTAACAGCTTTATTAACATATAATTTATATACCATAAAATTGTTTTATGTATATGATTCAATAATTTTTAGTAAACTAACATAGTTATACAATCATTAGCACAACCCAATTTTAGAACATATTCATCACCCCCAAAGATCTCTTGCGCCCACTTGAAATTATTCCCCTCTCAGGCCCCTGAGCCCAGACAACCACTATTCTACTTTCCATTTCTATAGAACACAAGAAATATTTTTTAAGTACTTGATTTGGAGCATCTTCACATTTTCTAATGGTCACTTACTATTGAATCTCCTTTACAGATAATCTAAGGTAGACATTTGAATAATTAGACATTGTTAAATAAATGGCATTAAAATCCCCCTCATCAACAAATTGATTGTCTCTACTATTTATTTCAATCTAAAAGGTGTTATTTTCAGGTAAAATCTAAATACTTAGATTTATTTTAAACTCAATAATGTTGATTCAGCTGGGTTTTGGTTTGAAAGTAAAAAATAAGAAAGAGTTGGAGTGAACAGATTATGTGATGGCACCCTGAAAGCTAAAATATAAGCTTTACAAGTCAATTCACTGGTGGAAATTAAATAGGTCAGACAAACATCCTTTTCTGAACTCTTTTTGTCTTGAATCCAAGATAAAAGGACTCCTGAGAATAATTATAAAGGACAGCCTGCAGAAGTGCAGAATGTTGCTTCCTCTGTAGGTCAAACACAAGTCAAGGCTTACGCTTTTTATTAGTTTTACTTCTTTTCAGTTACATATGTCATCCCTTGTGTATCCTGACCTCTTAAATATTAAGCAATTTTTTTTAAAAGTACGTTTTAACTTAATTTAAGTTGAAGCCATTTGATCAACTATCTCATAAGCAAATACAAAAAAGAATGAAAACAGTTACTTCCTGATATATTGATATATTGATTAATTTATATTAATGACTAATTTAGAAATATTTTAATGAAGGTGAGAACACTGATACATAACATACAATGTGCATCAAGAAAAAAAGTAGTTATGATTTTTATTTTATGATGCCAAAATAAAACAGGATCGTTTCACAGGTAGAAACAAATCTTAACAAAAAGTTATAAAGCAAGTGACTCGCGTAAGTGTTGTGTATAATGTGAAAGGGAGAATGAGTCCTCCATACGTTCACATTGTTGGGAGACTGTAGGCTCCTTTAGGACCAGCAGTTCTTTGGATATTAATTTTTCCAGATATATAATTTTTATGTCAATTTAGTCCTGAGATTAGTGAACTATTTAAATCACAGTTCCAATATGCGACATTGCAAATGCTCCCTAAATTAAACAAATGAGTGCTTTAAGCATAGAAATTAACTCAGCTTTATAATTTCAACTCTCCATTATATTCAAATGCCAGAACTATACAGGTTTTAAAAAGCCATTCTTGAGGCGAAGATTTATATGATGGAAGCCAGTAATAAAGATCATCATTTTTAGTGGGAAAAAAAAAAAAAGCCATTCTTGTCTATTTCCAAAAATTAGTCTTTTTGTTGTTAAACAAAAATAAAACTTAAAATAGTCATAAGGACTAATTTATACATAGCATATTATTTTGTGGTATGATAATATGTTCTATGTGAAGGTATTATACCATGATCATCATCACTATTATATGGGAATATCTAAGATTTTGTTTATCATTATAATTTTCAAGACCATGAGTCAAAGAATGCCAGTGGGATCAAGTGATTTGGCCAGGGTTATCTTCTGAGTCTGTGACAAGGAGAGGACAATATTTTGAATCCACAAAGCCAAGCTACCAATTAATCTTCATGAAGTGAGCCTTTCTGCAATACTTTTAAGTATGAGAATTGTTTCTTTTAACACTTCTCATAGTAGAAATCCAACTATCAGGAAGACATAAGTATTTATTAAGCTAGTTATTTTATTAAGTAATTAAAATGAATTACAAATGTTTTCTGCTCTCGAGTCTATATATTAAAATGGTATTTAACATTTAACAGAAGTAACACTGTGATAGTCACCACTAAAATATAAGCTTTACGATTGAAAAAATGTTGTAATTAAACTTTTGAAAATATGGGAATATACTCTTTTACAACTGAAATAGTATTGTACCTATTAAAACAATTATTTTTTATTGTAATATGAGTGAATGCAAAAAACCCAAATGTAACTATCACAAACCCTTACATAACTAACTTTTCTTAAATGAAGAATATTTTTAAACTTTCTTAAGTTTTCATTGGCCTCAGTAACCAGTTGTGTACATTTCTTAGTACAGTATATTCCTATTGTTTATTTTTGGCCATATTAAGTCAATTGGTAAGAAAAGGCTTGAAATAAGGAGATACATTTCCACAGAAGAGAGAGAATTGTGATCTAATACTCTCATCTATAAATATGAATAAACAGATTTACAATATTTTCAAGTTAAATTTATCTTGACACTTTTTAAATTAGGGAAGTTGCTCCTTGGTTAATTTAGTCTTTTTTTTTTTAATTATTTTTTTTAATTGAAGAAATTATTAAAAAATTTTCCCTCATCTACCTCCCCCCTCCCAATTTAGTCTTTAAATAAATTTAATGTACTGAATTTCTGGATCCAAGTGCTACTTGCAATTTATGATAAAAAGCATTTATCCGTTCTTTCTGAAGTGGCCAGTTCAAGATGCAGTAAGATTTAAACATTCCTCTTCGCAAACAGAGTGCATGATTCAATTTATAATCTGGAATATCCTCAAGAAAGATCAATATAATGGAATCCAGATTTTGTTCAATAGCTTGCTGAACTGCATGGTGCACTTTGAATCTAAGTTAAAAAAAAAAATGTATGAATTAAGTTACATATTGATATACAGTTTTTAACAGCCAAAAGCTCTAAAATTTACAATTCCCCTTAGAATTTACTTTAATCTGTCACTAAAAATTAGATTATGTTTTTTTCTTAATTTTATTTTTAAGATTATTTGAATTATGAGTGATAATATTAGTAATATTTGAAAGCTCAATTTACAAACAAGTATACATTTAAAATTTCACAATGTTCACCTACCTTTTGCATAATGGGTCTTTTAAAAGATGCCGTGTTACAACGAAAATAATTTTTCTGCTCTTTTTGATGCTATTAACAATTGCTTCAAGTTCAAGGACACCTGCCTGAAAGTCTCTCTCTTCCAGACAAAATCTGAGGGTTTGATCTTCTTCTTCCATTGGGCAGAAGTGTTCCCAGACCCAACCTCTATCTTTATAAGCGTGAATTATATATGCTGCATATTCAAACTGCTCTGGCTGGCTGTCTATTTCTTTGAAACCAAGAATTCGATGCACTGAAACGTTCCAATAAAAAGATATCCTCCAGCCTTCAAAATGGATGAGCAGTACAATAAAGATAAAAATCAATAAGATACTGGTATTTATCATGAAAAGAAGTTCAAAGGGGGCACTGTCTTTGCAGGGTGATATATCAAAAAGCATCACTGGGCAACCATGATACTGAGGCGGAGTATTACAGAGGTAATGGCTTGATAGCTCAGAGATGTTGGTATGAGTATTATTGATCCAATTAACAAACCAGGCAATGCTTTCACATGTACAATCAAATGGATTAAAGCTCATATCTAAATTACTTAGGTTCTTGAAAGCTGACCCAAAAACATCCTTCTCAACTGATGTTATGAGATTCTTCTGAAGGTTTAATGATTTCAGAGAGACCTGATTATCAAAAACAGATGGTGGAAGTATGTTTAAATTATTCAATCCTAAACTGATGCTCTTTAATTCAAATAAGTCCTTGAAGACCTCTGCTGGGATCTCATCAAAGCCGTTAGACTCTAAGTTAAGGACATGGAGGTGAGAAAGACCCTTTAGAAAATGAACAGGACCACCAGGATTTGCATGTTTCCAGAGCCGAGCTAAGTTGTTATGCTGCAAATCCAGAATTTCTAGTTTGTCGAGACCCTCCAACAGTTCATCATTTATGTTGGCTATGTTGTTGTTGCTTAGGTCCAGAATGGTCAAGTTATGAAGAGGGCGAAAAGGTGAAGGAGAGCTATCCAGGTTTTGAAGGGCCACTCTTCGGAGCATCAGTTGTTGGATGCTTGGAACCAAGGCAAAAGAATTGCTAGTCAGTTGTAGATATTTGTTGTAAGAAAGGTAGATTTCAACAATATTTTCCAGACCTCTCCATTCCTCTCCTGTGAGTTCTTGCCCAATTTCGTTAAGGCCGAGGTCAAGTACCTTTAGATGGCCCAACCAAGAAAAAGCACCACTCTCTATTTTTGAGATTTTATTTTTGGTTAGGTTCAGTATAAGTAAAGGAGAATGAGCAAGTGATACAAATGTTTCGTTTGTTAAAGTTCGCAAACTTGTGAAGGAGCTGGACAGACTTAAGTATTTCAGCTTTATTAGTCCTGTGAACATATCGCTTTTTATGCCTTGAAAGTTGTTATCTTCCATGTTAAGATACTCCAAACATTTCAGCCACCGAAAGGAAAGATTATCAATCTTGGGAAGTGAAGCAAGGAAGATGTTTTGTTTAATAAAAGATCCTCTCAAATTCAGGTATTTCACATTGAAAAGTCCATAAAAAGAGTGAGAAGACAAATGCTCTATATTATTATACTCCAGGAAGAAATATTCTAGATGCGGAAGCCAAACAAAGGAATCATTGCCAATCACTTTTAAGCTGTTATAGGAAAGATCGAGCATGGTGAGATTTGTCTGGTTTAGTCCAATGAAAGTCATATTGCTTGTTCTGCAAAGCTGGGTGTTGCTCAGGGATAGATTCTGAATACTTGTGCCTGATAATTCCAAACAAAGCTTCTCTGTGAGACTGGGGCCCAGCTGGGCATTGTTCAGAGAGAGACCAAATAATTCTCCAATTGCATGAAAACACCCTGGAGAGAACTAAAGATAGGGAGGGAAAAGGAAGTTAATAACCAAAACACAATAGAGTTTACATGACCCTTGCAAAGCTTAAGCACAATTTTTTTAATCAATCTCCCTTCCCCTCTCACCACCTTCTCTGGGTTTTCTCTCTGTCCCTCTAATGCACAGCTCCTTACTCTGTGCCTGTAACACCACATCTGGCTCCAAACCCTTACCTCCCCCGGCCACAGGCTAATTTCTACTCAGCAGTCACAACTCAGCTTAGATGTCACTTCATCCGGGGCTTTCCCTGACTTCTCAGTCTAGATTAAGTACTCCTAGTACTTTTACTTTATTACGCTGAGTAAATTGCGTTTAAACTTCATAAAGTTGCCATTGGGACAGACTATCTGTCTTGGTGACCACTATTCCCAGTGAAGGTTGTGGAACGAATGGATGGATTTCATTTTGAAACAGTGACATTCAAACTTAGTGACATGGAGAATGTCCATGATATAATTTTTTAATGGCGGGGTACACCATCACCCTCAGGGACACAATATTGCACAGCTAATAAGATAGACTCTGGTCTAGCACTGGCAGAAACCCAGCTCAGTCACCAGCTCGTCACCTATACGACCTCGAACAAGTTCCTTAATATTTCTTCATCTCAATTTACTCCTGTGTAGAATGATGAGAGGAATAAGTTGGTTACAGACCATATACAGATACAAATAAAGATATTGTCACAGTGTCTGACATATAGTTGAGTACTCTATGACTTTCAGCTACTGTTGTTTTTCTAATTACTTGGAGAAAAGCTAGGTATAAACATACCCAAAGGCTGACATTGGTTGTCTCTAGATTGTGGGCTTTTGGATGATTTTGATTTCCCCCCCTCATTATTTATATATTTTATAAAATTCTAACAGCAAATGTTCTAAACAGAAGAAAAATGCTGTTTAAAAATTAACATGGGTAGTTTACATAAAATATTTAATTATTATCCAGAGTAATTTTGTACAGTCTATTTTTATGTCTGAAAATTAATACAGCTTTAAAAGATTTGATCTAATTTAGGATGTCCAATTTTCTTATTCTCAGCCTGTAAAGGAATAAAATATAGAAATACCTATATATGAAAATGGTTAACAAATTGAAGATCATGGATCCGAAAAGAGAAGGTTACCTCATTATAGGAAGGTTTTTATAATAATCTAATGCTAATTATTTATTGAGCACTCACATGCCAGACCCTGTGCTACATTCTTTATCACACAGTCTTATGGAGTCTTATCATTATGCCAATTTTCAAGCAGAGAAAACTTGAATAATTTGCCTGAGTACACAATTATTAAGAGATAAAGCCCAGACCCCGAGTCAGCTAACCCAGCTCTAAAGCCTGTGCTTTTAACTATCATACCATTTTAATTTTTTTCAGAAGTCTTGTGCTATAGATAGTATTAATTTCACTCTATAAGTGAGGAAATTAAGATCCAGAGAGGTTAAGTAAGTTCTTCAAGGTCAAAGTACTGGTCTGTAAATGGAATGGGGATTTTAACCCACTCCGTTTGACAGTAGAGCCCCAGTTTCTAATTGCTACCAAAGTCCCTTTCTTGGGAGGATGACGTCAATGGCCCAATCAGTCAGTGTGAAGGATTTTGGAAGACATGTCAAAGGTTATCACCTCTTTCTATAGGGAACTTTAGATTCCTATTCGTGTGACATAATTAGGGACTGCCCACACTTAAAGTTGGAACAGAATAATTTTACCTTACTTCTTACCTCTTTGATTTGATTTGATGACAACTCTAATTTTTTTAAAGACGAATTGCCAAGGAAATCAAGTTCTTCACGTCTTAGTAGATTAATTTTATTATTTGATAATAGAAGCTCTTGGAGATTTTCCAGTTGGAGCTGAGTTCCTAATTTAGTAGATGACAAGCCATTATGAGATAGATCTAATTTAATTAAATTCTGAAAGGAGAAAAAAACATGTATATAAGTTAGAGTCTTGCCATCAAAAAAGGTTTTCTTCAATGTACACGAATCTTATAAATAACTCATTCTAACATATTCTACTGTCAGAAAACTGACAGTAGGACTAATAAAAGCTTTGTTGCAATTGAAAATGCCATTTTTGCAAGAATTTGCTTTCTTACATCATGAATCACTTTATTTCTCCTACCAAAATAAAAGGACTTAAGCTTACGTATTCACGATATAAGAAATATTCATAACAAGCACTTATTTATAATAAGCATTTATTTATGATGCGGAGAATGTTTGTGTGGTTTATCGAACATATAGTGTCATGCATCAGCCTTGAAACTAAACAACTACAACAACAAGATGTTTTCTTAAACAGTACAAGTAGAACTTAGTCATCCATGAAATTATACTGAGAATGATCGATAGTTATATAAAATTAATTTTTGTTTGTTTTGTTGTGGGATGTTTTTCACTTTATGATGTGATAACTTACAAATCAAGAAAAAGGTAAGGAAAAGGTGATATATGTTAGGGCAAAATCTTCTGTGATGTCTGTTAAAGAGGACAGACTTTTATTTATGTTTTAAAAATAAAAATAACATTTTGCCAGCGATTAACGAGATTTTGAGGTCTTTGTGTCCAAAGACATTTTGTCCACATCAGAATCTAAGAAGGCACGTGAAAGAATTTGAAATGCCTTGCAAGCAAATCATTTTATATATGTTTCTAAGAATATTTAAATTTATATGTTATTTTTGGCATCTGGATGAAGAAAACAAAGAGTTTTGAAAACGGTTTTAGTTTAAGAAAAACTCTTAATAATTATCTCAGATTTAGGAGTAATAAATACATTTTTCAGACTTAAAATTCAAGCAAGGTACTTAAAAGAAAAAGTACTAGCCACTGGAAAAGCAATATTGTGAGGAGACTTCTACAATCAAGAGTAGGTAATTTTTAGTTGAAAAATTTGCCATGTATCAATGTGTTAACTTTATTTAAGTCAGAATTTGGACTCGATATTTTTTCATTATTTCGAGTACTAACTCGGCACTTTGAGCACTTTTTCCTGCGTTCCTCGCGGGATGTTCTGATTTTTCTCTGATTTCTACCTCTTGAATCTAAGTCCTGTTTCAAATGGGAGAAAGCAAGAGAGGCAGTTCTTTAAAATTAAGATTAAAACTGATCAAAGATGATATTTTCCTCTTACCTTCAAATTTTTAAAGGGATTATTTTGAATTTTCTGGATTGAGTTGGACTTTAGATTGAGTTCAACCAAATTCATACAGAAGATAAAGGTTTTATCAGAAAGGTGAGATAGCTCATTGTTTTGAAGGTTCAAAATTTCCAACAAGGGGAGTTTTTGGCACAATTCTGGCTCCAGTTTTGAGATGGTATTAAATCCTCCATCCAAGACAGTAAGTTGGCTATATCTTGTAAAATTGGCAGATGGTAATTTTCTGAGTTGATTATGGGTAAGATCCAACACTGTTATGTTTTCTGGGAGGTCATCAGGTATTTGAGTCAACTTCAGATGACTGCAGTCAGCTACTTCATGCCTCACAGCACATTTATTGGTAGAAGATGTACACAGTATCCAAAAGGACAACAGTCCCAAAAGAGAAGAGATATGATAGAGCAGTTTCCATCTCATGATTCTGCCCTATAAAAGAAACATAAAAAAGCAATAGACAACATTAGTGATGCAAACTCTCACATGCATTGGTATATAATATTCCTTATAAAGTATATAACTAAATGTGACTATTTGTGATCTTTTCACTATAACTCTTATGATATACAAGTCTGCGTTATACAAATAGTACATCAAATGGAAATAATTCAAACAGTACAGAAGACAAAATAGAACATACACTCTCCATCTCCACCCCGGTTGCAATGTTCCAAGGTAACCTCTTGACAGTTTCTATTTTTAATTCTCATGGTCACCTTCACAGACCTAAGTAATATGCATCTGCTTCTATATCTCCATTTATTAACTTTAAGTATTTTCTTCCCACTATAAAGATAACTTAATTATATATTTCCTCATCATCTTACAATTTTTCTTTAGTTATTTTAAATTTAATCTATTGTCACATTTATCATTTTAAAGACTATACCTAAAACTCTCTTTTTGATCAACCAACTTTAGACAAAATCTTTTGACTTCTCACCTCATGACATAGGAAATGTACATCCCTGTATTTTCTACACACTTCTTTCATCCTTACATTTCCTAAAACTGTGAGCTATAACATTGCTCGACATCGTCAAGATATAGTTTTAGCATTCATCTAAAGTTATGATAAGTCAGACATACTTGGTATAGAAAAAATTCAGAAAATCTAAAGTTGATAAATATTATTCATGATTTTATAATTATGTAAATAGACATTTACCGCAGAATCGGGAAGATATAGAGAAACATAGCAATTAAGAGAACAAACCCTGGAATTACGCCCTCTGAATTCTGATCCTAGAATCTCTGCTTCGTAGCCTCTGGCAAGCTAATTTATTTCTCAGGCCTTAGTTTCTTCATCTTGTAAGTGGAGATAATCAGAGTAGCTTCTCCATAGTTTGTTTTGAAGATTAAAGGAAATAAGTCTTGCAGTATCTGGAATAAAGCAGCATTTAATATTATTAGCATTTTTATTAGTCAGTACAATAATCCATGATTTGTAAATTGATTATTATAACTATTTATTTTGTAACTTTTTACTTTTGAAAGAAAATCTATACAAAATTAATTATATTGGGAAAAAAATCACAGCTATTAAACAAGAAAGAAATGGTAAAGAGAGCCAAGATGTGAAATAACTGAAATTCAAGGAAATTCATGGACGGTTAGGAAGATTCAAAAAGCTTCTTATCAACTCAACCTTTGGTTAAACGGAGAAATGCAGTATGGACTCGTGCTGTCTTCACAGGCTAGGAAGCAACCAGTATCCTCCCTGAACTGCAAATGATCTTCATTTAAAGAGACCAGATTCCTTTAAAAGTGCTCTGTTTTTCAGTTTCATTTTAAAGAAATAAAAAATAAGCTATGAATTATGAGGAGTCTGTGGGTCACTTCACCCTACTACTTGGTCTAAAGAGTGGAAGTAAAAACACACTTTATTAGATGGAAAAGACTCAGCAAATGCTAGGCAGAATGAGTGAAAAAGGAAAAATACACAGAGGAAATCTTATGAAACTTAAAAATTGTGACTATTCATTAAAAAAAAATCTTAAAACCTTCACAGGAAAACATGTGATCAATGACTTCCAAAGAAAAGAGATCTGATTGATACAAAAAATTTTCTCAGCAACATCAGCCACTGGAAAATAATAGTAATAAGCTTTCAAAACATTCAGGGGAAATTATTTTGAACGTAAAATTTTATTTCCAGCTGAACAATTAAAGATAACGGGAGGAGGGGGAGTATTTTAAGATAGGCAAAGAGTCAATAAGTTTATAACTATGTAACTCATATGAAAAAAGCTATTTTAGAATGTGCTTCAGTAAAATAGACAAACGAAAATACAGTTAGAGGATGAAATGAGAGTGAAAACAAGTAGTTGAATGAGACATAACAGAAACAAAGAAAGCTGAAAAGAAATGAAAAACAGAATCACTTGGCCTTGCAATTTTGGAAAGACTTCTCAGGACGCATAGGCTTATATTTCTCTGTCCAAGTGACAGACAATATTGCATCATGGTTTGGACATAGAGTCTGGAGCCGGGCTACTTAGAGTTACCACTGGTTACAATTTGGCTTATACAGTTTGGATTGCAAACTTTACATTTTTTTACTTGACATTTTTTTCCTCGTAAATTTGTACTGATACTCTGTATACAGACACACATCAATACAAAATCATATTGGAAAGTTGGGAAGCAGCTTCCTGAAACTAGTACTAGCCAAGGCTGACTCTATTTCCATCAGACTTAACCCACATTTGCCGATGCAAATTTCTGATCCTCTTATACATCTGAACCTCTTTCCAGTTCTCATCTTTCTTTCTTTTTCCTTTATTAGTCCAAAGGAAGCCTTCTTATTCCTAGGAATAGCTGAAGTGTTTCTCCTTTTCAAGCACATTATCATAAAAAGCTAGCTCCTGTCTCTTCTCTAGCCAAGAAAACTGAGAAAAAGAGAAAAGCTGTTTTAAGTTCACAGGGCTTTGTATCTTTAAGACGAAGTTGTGATTTTTTAAAAAGTCTGTTACAAAATGATTTCCGTAGCTACTCTAATGTACGGAAAACTCTACAAAAAAAGTTTCAATTACTACATAAAAATGTTTTATCATGTTAATTAGAAATTGTTGCTGTTATTTGTACTGTTATAATACACTTCTCCCCATACCCATATCACCTCCCTTTTCCTCCATTCTTTTTGTTGAATGGTTCTGACTCGATTTCAAACAGCAGATCCAAGAAAGACCAAAGTACGTTAAAACCAACATGCATTCTAGCTTTACGAATGTGAGAAGTGCTATCCCAACAGGAATTTAAAATATATACCTTCACTTACTCTGATCACAGGTGACCTTCCCTTTTCTCCTTAGTCCAAATCCAGGCGTTTTCATCAGACAAGCGTGACAAATTTGCTGCGATCTCAAAAGTGAAACTAAAGTCTAAAAGAAAAAAAAGCCTTTTATAGTTGGTGCATTCTAAGAAGGGCAAAGAAAATAAGCCACAATTTCAGCAAGAGACATTTTGAACTGCTTCTTAAAATGTCTTGTTTTTCTTTTTTTCCCCTTCAGGTGCAGTCCCCTGGGTTTCATTGAAAGGGTCACAGATTTAGCGACAGAGAAAGATGAAAAAGTGTAACTTCACCACTGAGTGTGGGCAGGGCTAGCTAGTACTCAGAGGATAATGGCTATCTAATCTAACTGAGGGTGAATTTCTCTATCTTTTTACCAAAATCTGATGTGAAACTGTCAGAATTGAATGGTGTGTGGTCAAAGGGACAGAAAAAACTGTCCCTAATCAAAGCTAAATATTTCCATTTCTCTGATCTCATTTTCTCTTCTTAGCAACACTGTAAGATAAATAATGCAGAAATCAAACTTTTGATCAAAGAAGAAACCAAGTTTCACAGTAGAGAAAGAGCTCACCATGGCAAAACAAAGGGCCAGCCTAATTCATGCCATCCCATTTTCCACATTCAGAACCTGTTAGGGAACAAATAGATATGCCCAGAGAAAGTTTAGATTCACTATTAGTTTTCAATTAGTTTTCCTGACTCCAACTAGTTAAAGGAACGTGCTTGTCAAAAAATGAACACATTGTGGATATAATATGATATAGTATTATAACTATACTTATATGTAGTACAATTGGCAGGAACTATAGAGATCACCTAATCCAACTTCCTTGTTTGACTAGTGAGGAAAATGAAATCTAGCAAGGATTTGCCTAAGGACATGAGTTATACAAACAAGTAAAGTCACATAATGGCCTGGAACGATTGAAACATGAAACTAGCTTGACTTGACTGAAGAATTGAGACCAAGAAATAAGTTTGTGTCAGGGTGCAAAATGAGCACTCCTGGACCCTAGTCTTAACTGTACCACTTTGTGGTGTGGTTACTAAGCTTGTGGTTATACTTTTCTAGTTTTCAATTGTCATATCAATAATAAAATACCATAAACAAACAATTGTCCTGAGTCAAGGCTCGTCCTCTCTATCTATCCATTGGGATGTGCAGAAAGAACTGAGGGTTTCTTCTCAGTTCATTCCTTAAAGGCAGGACAGTGTATATGTTATGTATTACAACTCTCCAGCCATTCTTCCATGATAGACTATTACTTTGGGCTCCAATGAACCAGATTTTTTTTTCAGTATTCAGACCGTTGCATGATCTTCCACATCAACTCTGGACTTGTCATATGACTAGCTGGCCAATAGGATATTAATAAACAGAAAGTAAGCTCGCTTAGGATTTACCTTCTTCCATTTAGAAGCCAGTCACTGTGTGGTAAGAAGCCCAGCCTAATCTTGTGCCAAAGCAACATGGAGGAGAATAGGCTCTGGCCAATAGCTCCAGCTGAACACCCAGAAGACAGTCAGTGTCAACTTGTTATTCATATGAGCAAAGCATATTGGAAGTGGATTTCCCAATCCCAGTTGAGTCACCCCAGCCGACGTGACATGGATCAGTGACATGCTGTCCCCAAGTCCTGCCAAAATTCGAGAAGAGTAAACAAATAACTATTGTTGTTTTAAACTAAAAAAAATTGGAATAATGTGTTAGGCATTATTATGGCCTTCAATAAATACTTTTTACTGATGATCTCATAATTCAATAATCAGTTTAGGCTTAATGCCAGTTCATATCCAGATATTAATAGTCTTCAATTCTTGCTAAATGCAACACAGGTCAATTTCTCTTCGAGAGACATTTCTTAATTATGCATTAAATTATTTAGCTATTATGGTCATAGGTGCTACAGTGAAAAAGCTCATTTTTCCCTTTTTAAGAAAATTAAATCCAAACTATTTATGATATATGTCCATAAATGTAAATTAACAAGCCTAATATTTACTGGTATTTTATAATATGACAGATCAGCTAGTCTCAAAATAAAGACGAAGCTGCATTATTTCCAGGACGGCAGAGATCTACAGAATTCTAGAAGTCAAAGTCCCTTAAGTTTACTAAATTTATGGTAATTTTACTAAAATTTATAAATTGTATAGTTTCCTTCTTCAACCTGATGGAGTACTTTTTTTTGTTTAAGAGAATTAATTAAGGTAATATATACAGAGTCTAAAAGAATGGCTGGAGAAAACAGCAAGTTACACTGGAATTGATAAGCAGATAATAATTAGTAATTTATTATTTATGTATTTATTAAACTATAGACCCTTTGTCCTCTGCCTGCTTCTAATAATAATTCTTAATCACCTAGTCATTGTATTTAAAGGACAATTACAGCCATTTTAATGCTAGGCAAATAATTTTTTGATAATTGAAGATAGTGTATAATCACTAGTCACTTCATTATAATGTTTATAAAGGAAGGTTTGGTTATGGTTTTCATGACCATCATCATTATCAACATCTGTAATACTAGATTGCTCAAGGCTATACGAGACAGTGTTTATAGACTCCTGTATTAATTATTTTAGATATGAAGATTGCATCATTGCAATTCTGACAATATATATAGGCAGCTGAAGTTGTGTGGCAAACAGCAGACTATGTGAAAAGGCAGATTTATATTAGACAACACAATAATTACACTGTTGCCAGACTCCATGAGTTCCAAAGAGAGAACTAATTATTGAGGAATATTTAAAGTTGTGCCAGCACTGAATACATTTGTTAGGGAACTACTGGGTATTTAAAAGAGTCAATATTGTACATAGGTTTAATTTTGCATGGCTCTTAGGAATTTTTGAAAATGGAATTTTATTGATGGAAACAAGGAAATTAGACTAACCAATCTTCCCAGTGTTAGCAAGAAGCCAAAGTAAGACTATAGACTATACTTTTCATCATTAAAATTTTTCATGGGTTCATAATGTGATGAATATATTATGGACCTATATAAATAATTAAATTTACCACAGAGCATTAGCTAAACAGTCATTTTATACTGTACTCAAGGGTCTCCCTTTCACAGCCACCATTGAGACAGGACATGGTCTTGCTCTATATCATCTGAACTTCTAGAAGGCATTTCTCTTTTCTTTTTGAACTCTTCCCTAAAGTAAAGGTACAGTTCCTCTTACCAGTGTTATTTCCATTTCTTCTCATATAACATCAGAGGAGTTAAATTAAATTCAACCAAACCACAAACGCTGCAGAAACTTTAAAGAGGAAAGAGCACTATTTCTTTTCTACTTCTTTCACTTATGTTTACTAAGCAGGATTGAATTCGAACCTCCCTTCTGAAAAAAAAAACAACAACATTTGACACACAACCTGAACTTTTATTTATTTGTTTGTTTGTTTGTTTATTCATGTAATTTTACAAGGTCATTGAAAAGTGGTAATATCTTTCTGTCTCTTATAAACCAATCTGTGAAATGGGTTAGTATGAATAGAGTCTTACCCTCCTCTATTGACATTTTTATGATATGGCTAAAGGCTCTTCAAATCATATGCCTTGAATTTGATATTTATTTATTAAAATAAAAAGTAAAATTCTAGATCTAACTTCACTATCATCCTATGCTTTAAACATGCTAATTAAATTGGAATAAACCAATGTCCACTGGGCATCTAATGAATGCAGTCAAAAATGTCAGACAAAACCATTAAATAATCACACTTAAGACAAAGAAGTTCAAAATACAGAAAACAAATACAGGTTCCTCCTGCAATTCAAAAGTAGAATGTTCCTTTGAAATCTTTTCCAAGCCAAAATGGCATAAAGAGAAACAGCAATTATCATTAATTTAATATGGAAAATTTTTGAGCATTCCCAGGCCCACAGCATAATCTACTAAATCATATCAAATAACACATAAAACCTAAAATAACACTAACATATAATAAAAGCAGGAATAATATAATAAATACACAGCCTGTATAAAGTAGTAATAAGGTATGTACAGCGTAGTTTTGTTTATTAAAAAGACTGACTGATTTCTCTTTATGCATAAGATAAATTAATGGAACATCATGCTTTGTACACCCATTAATCCACTCAATCAATAAACTTTCTGTTTTACTCATTATTAGATGCCAAATAAAAGACCACTTTGCTGCTAGCAGAACTGATAGTAACTTTGGTAGCTTCAAGATTCTTTCTCTTTGGACACAGACAAATTCAATACACATACAATGTCTTTATTTTGTTCACCACGATTGAATAGTTTAGTTACATCCAGTTTTACAAAGTATGACATCTTTAAGAATGCTCTTTGGCTTTTCTGATACCTTAGGACACATCTTGACATAAAATAAATTGAGATAGAGTTCAAATATTCACATAGTTCAAAGCTATAGCAGCTAAATGCTGAAATACTGAGTATAGTTCCCAGGAGGAGCTTGTCAGTGCTATTCTGCTTGCTTGGGGTGTGTGCTGCCTCTATAATGGCTCACTGCAAAACAAAGACTGAATGCTATTTTTGCTTTTCACCTTTTTTCATAAAAGCAAAACTCCTCTTTAGATTTCTTGCAGTTAGAAAAAACAGGCTCTAATGAAGTTCATTTGTAAAAGAGAAGTGGCTTGATACCAATTTTCAAAAAGCAGGGCATACCTGTAATAACTTACTATAATCATATCGAACTGGTCACTGGTGAGAATTAGTGCTCATGAAGATTGACCTTTATTTTATAATGCAAATTCTGAATCAACAGGGGAAATCAAAAAGAAGGCCCAGGGTTGGAAGGGGTGGGTAATTGCTTTTGGCCATACTTCTTCTTTTTACCTGAGGAGAAACTTTATCTGTATCATGGGATTATTTATAACAAGAACATGAGAATTGGCTCTTAAAAAGTGAGAAGTAAAAGAGGAAGGGATATGGGGACAGGGAAGGTTACTATGAAAAAAAAATTGAAGATAAAATACATAAATCTGAAAAAATTCAAAAGGCTCCAATATAGTATTTACTGCCTATATAAAATGATAGTCTTATTCTTCACTTTACATAGAAATAAGCTTATATAAGAGTTGAATGTACATGTTAACATCATCAAAAGAAATGGTAACATTTCCTTTACATGTTATTTGTCCAAATCACTACTTGGTTTTTATATTTTTATTATTGATTTGTAAGAGCTTTAGGAATATGAAGACAATTAGCTTTTCATCTAAATACATTGCAAATTTTTTGCCTGATTTGTTGTCTGTTTTTGATTTTTTTACTGTTTTTTTTTTTTTTTAACTACACAAAAGTTA